ATACATGATTGAATAGCACTCAATTAGATAAGTAACACAAAGCACGCCCCATTCACAAATATTAATCCGTTGAAAAGTTGTCAAAGAAAATGTGACCCGAAAACATGCTATAGAAAGTCCGCGCGTCAAAATCCTATAGGAATGCTCGAGACAGCGATTTCCTCAACACACTTTTCACCATCACTTTTGAACGGCTCAACCGATTTCGCTGATTCATTTAGTGTGGGATTTCTCTTGCAAATATCTGTTTGACACCAAATTTCAACACATTGTAAGATGTCACAATTAAATGCAAAATGTATCAATGAAATCGGTTGACCAATCAGCAAACCGATTTCACGTATGAGCAGTGAGCGAAACTTGCCAAAGTAATCACGCTGAACCATCGTCAGTATGAATGGTGAACCTCTAGTCGTAAATGAGACCTTCAGCTCAACATAGCAATATAGCTTATACAGTATACCACACATATGTAGGGTAGTAAACGAAATAGCCCAGCCTGAAGCGTTAGGGCTTGAAGAACGCTTAAAACCCATTGTCTGTTGTCGGAATACTATGACAACACCACCAAAGATCATCACAGTCATTGGATTTGCGAGATTTTCATTCGTCCGACAATTCAGACCGAGAGTTAGGGGTAGTATCCCTATATAACATGGCGAGTAAGAGCAAGTGTAAATCGTCAAGTACAAATCTCAATGTACGTGTACATATTATACATGATTGAATAGCACTCAATTAGATAAGTAACACAAAGCACGCCCCATTCACAAATATTAATCCGTTGAAAAGTTGTGAAAGAAAATGTGACCCGAAAACATGCTATAGAAAGTCCGCGCGTCAAAATCCTATAGGAATGCCCGAGACAGCGATTTCCTCAACACACTTTTCACCATCACTTTTGAACGGCTCAACCGATTTCGCTGATTCATTTAGTGTGGGATTTCTCTTGCAAATATCTGTTTGACACCAAATTTCAACACATTGTAAGATGTCACAATTAAATGCAAAATGTATCAATGAAATCGGTTGACCAATCAGCAAACCAATTTTACGTATGAGCAGTGAGCAAAACTTGCCAAAGTAATCACGCTGAACCATCGTCAGTATGAATGGTGAACCTCTAGTCGTAAATGAGACCTTCAGCTCAACATAGCAATATAGCTTATACAGTATACCACACATATGTAGGGTAGTAAACGAAATAGCCCAGCCTGAAGCGTTAGGGCTTGAAGAACGCTTAAAACCCATTGTCTGTTGTCGGAATACTATGACAACACCACCACAAGATCATCACAGTCATTGGATTTGCGAGATTTTCATTCGTCCGACAATTCAGACCGAGAGTTAGGGGTAGTATCCCTATATAACATGGCGAGTAAGAGCAAGTGTAAATCGTCAAGTACAAATCTCAATGTACGTGTACATATTATACACCATTGAATAGCACTCAATTAGATAAGTAACACAAAGCACGCCCCATTCACAAATATTAATCCGTTGAAAAGTTGTCAAAGAAAATGTGACCCGAAAACATGCTATAGAAAGTCCGCGCGTCAAAATCCTATAGGAATGCCCGAGTCAGCGATTTCCTCAACACACTTTTCACCATAACTTTTCAACAGCTCAACCGATTTCGCTGATTCATTTTGTGTGGGATTTCTCTTGCAAATATCTGTTTGACACCGAATTTCAACACATTGTAAGATGTATCAATAAAATGCAAAATGTATCAATGAAATCGGCTGACCAATCAGCAAACCAATTTTACGTATGAGCAGTGAGCAAAACTTGCCAAAGTAATCATGCTGAACCATCGTCAGTGTGAATGGTGAACCTCCAGTCGGAAATGAGACCTTCAGCTCAACATAGCAATATAGCTTATACAGTATACCACACATATGTAGGGTAGTAAACGAAATAGCCCAGCCTGAAGCGTTAGGGCTTGAAGAACGCTTAAAACCCATTGTCTGTTGTCGGAATACTATTACAACACCACCACCACCACCAAGATCATCACAGTCATTGGATTTGCGAGATTTTCATTCGTCCGACAATTCAGACCGAGAGTTAGGGGTAGTATCCCTATATAACATGGCGAGTAAGAGCAGGTGTAAATCGTCAAGTGCAAGTCTCAATGTACGTGTACATATTATACATCATTGAATAGCACTCAATTAGATGAGTAACACAAAGCACGCCCCATTCACAAATATCAATCCGTTGAAAAGTTGTCAAAGAAAATGTGACCCGAAAACATGCTATAGAAAGTCCGCGCGTCAAAATCCTATAGAAATGCTCGAGACAGCGATTTCCTCAACACACTCTTCACCATAACTTTTCAACAGCTCAACCGATTTCGCTGATTCATTTTGTGTGGGATTTCTCTTGCAAATATCTGTTTGACAACGAATTTCAACACATTGTAAGATGTATCAATAAAATGCAAAATGTATCAATGAAATCGGCTAACCAGCAAACCAATTTTACGTATGAGCAGTGAGCAAAACTTGCCAAAGTAATCATGCTGAACCATCGTCAGTGTGAATGGTGAACCTCCAGTCGGAAATGAGACCTTCAGCTCAACATAGCAATATAGCTTATACAGTATACCACACATATGTAGGGTAGTAAACGAAATAGCCCAGCCTGAAGCGTTAGGGCTTGAAGAACGCTTAAAACCCATTGTCTGTTGTCGGAATACTATTACAACACCACCACCACCACCAAGATCATCACAGTCATTGGATTTGCGAGATTTTCATTCGTCCGACAATTCAGACCGAGAGTTAGGGGTAGTATCCCTATATAACATGGCGAGTAAGAGCAGGTGTAAATCGTCAAGTGCAAGTCTCAATGTACGTGTACATATTATACATCATTGAATAGCACTCAATTAGATGAGTAACACAAAGCACGCCCCATTCACAAATATCAATCCGTTGAAAAGTTGTCAAAGAAAATGTGACCCGAAAACATGCTATAGAAAGTCCGCGCGTCAAAATCCTATAGAAATGCTCGAGACAGCGATTTCCTCAACACACTCTTCACCATAACTTTTCAACAGCTCAACCGATTTCGCTGATTCATTTTGTGTGGGATTTCTCTTGCAAATATCTGTTTGACAACGAATTTCAACACATTGTAAGATGTATCAATAAAATGCAAAATGTATCAATGAAATCGGCTAAGCAATCAGCAAACCAATTTTACGTATGAGCAGTGAGCAAAACTTGCCAAAGTAATCACGCTGAACCATCGTCAGTATGAATGGTGAACCTCTAGTCGTAAATGAGACAGACCTTCAGCTCAACATAGCAATATAGCTTATACAGTATACCACACATATGTAGGGTAGTAAACGAAATAGCCCAGCCTGAAGCGTTAGGGCTTGAAGAACGCTTAAAACCCATTGTCTGTTGTCGGAATACTATTACAACACCACCACCACCACCAAGATCATCACAGTCATTGGATTTGCGAGATTTTCATTCGTCCGACAATTCAGACCGAGAGTTAGGGGTAGTATCCCTATATAACATGGCGAGTAAGAGCAGGTGTAAATCGTCAAGTGCAAGTCTCAATGTACGTGTACATATTATACATCATTGAATAGCACTCAATTAGATGAGTAACACAAAGCACGCCCCATTCACAAATATCAATCCGTTGAAAAGTTGTCAAAGAAAATGTGACCCGAAAACATGCTATAGAAAGTCCGCGCGTCAAAATCCTATAGAAATGCTCGAGACAGCGATTTCCTCAACACACTCTTCACCATAACTTTTCAACAGCTCAACCGATTTCGCTGATTCATTTTGTGTGGGATTTCTCTTGCAAATATCTGTTTGACACCGAATTTCAACACATTGTAAGATGTATCAATAAAATGCAAAATGTATCAATGAAATCGGCTAAGCAATCAGCAAACCAATTTTACGTATGAGCAGTGAGCAAAACTTGCCAAAGTAATCATGCCGAACCATCGTCAGTGTGAATGGTGAACCTCCAGTCGGAAATGAGACCTTCAGCTCAACATAGCAATATAGCTTATACAGTATACGGTATGCGGTACGTTTGAAGTTTGCGTTACGATAACACTATCTAATATATATTGATTGTATATCGTTGAGTCCTAGTTTATAACTCATACATAGCTTTAGAATTCATACTTAAAGCAATATGGGTCGACTGTCAAAAAAACGAGCACGGGAAAGTCCTAACTCTTCAGATATTAACAATTCTATTATTACCTATTCTTCTTGCTCCGCTACTCCTTTTGTATCTGATAATGTTGGGACTGGTCTTTCACCACACGTGCTGCTGGACGACTCTGTTTCTAATTTAGTAATGGGTTCCACCTCAAGATCAAAAAGGATCGATGATATGAAGAGTGAATTAAACAGTCTGTTTAAGCAACTAAGCGACATGCGTTCTAAAGTCGAGTCACTTTCTAGCTCTTTATCAAAGCATGATGATCTTAAGCAAGAACTAAAGACACTATCACCTTTAAAACTGCTTTTGTCAAAAGACATCGTTCCTGCGGAACTTGATGACATTATAAAAGCAGAATCTGTTATCGATTTTATCGCTAGTGAAGTTACCAAGCGAATAGTCTCTCGTAATAACGTGATTTTCTATAATATACCTGACAAAGTCTCCATTAAAACTGTAAGGAATTCGATATTAAAAGCATCTAACCTTCAAGACAGTCCATGCCAATGCATCCGACTTACTAAGAAGCACCAGAAATACTCGTGCCCGGTCTTGTTCAGGTTTGATTCTCATATATTAGCTGAACAGTTAAAAGAATCTGAGCGGCTGATATGCGCGCTTACGAAGTTTAGAAACGCTCGCATAGTCTCAGATAAGACCACCAATCAAAGACTTACGCAAAAGCGTACCGTGAACGAAAATATAGATGTTGAGATCATAAAAAATCACGATGCATCAGCTGCGGGATCCACTGATACTGATACCCTATCTCATGTTCTCCAGTACTCTGATTTGCCAACGAAGAGTGCTAACTTACCTATTATGCCTGTAGTGACATCTGATAAGCAATGTACATCTACTGATTACACTAATCCGATAGTATCCAATTTACCATTAGAAGCCCATAAGCAAATACCTAGTCCTAATGCGACAGCTCTTAAAAACACTGTCAAGATTAAAAAGTCTATGCCACGTAAGAAGAATGTTTGTACAGAACCTTCTGGTTCTAGACCCAATAATAAAAGTATTACGATGGCCCTACTCAATACAAATAAGACTAAACTACCCGACACCATGCTTTACCCAACGCATCGTAGGGGAGGATATAAGGGCAGACCTGGTTCAAATGTCTCACAAGATGGCCACTTCAATCGTTATGTAAGTAGGCCTAATACTGGACAGACCACAGTAAACCAACGAGCCTCACGAGTACCCTCAAACGTTTTAAATAATAAACCTGTAAGACGTAACCTCTCTCAACACTTTCCCATTAGGCAAGATGGATTACTAGGTTACCCAACATCAAACTTTTCAAATAATATACCAGTAACACATAACTTTTCTCAACACTTTCCGATTGGGCAAGATGGATTACTGGGTTACTCACCATCAACCCAACCTTGTCTTAACTGTCCGCCTAGTCAAGTTCAACAAATTAATCCGCTTTATCAAAATAATGATTTTTTTGGCCTTCAGAAATCCCTGGTCCCACTAGCACTACAGTTTGCTCAAGCGATCGCCCATGTGATCAGTCAAACATAATAAACCACAGTCTATGCAAATCCAAAATACACGACATCAATAGGGAAGCTCTCGGTTTTTTTACACTCCATACGCCCTTTCTAAATCTATTACTTATCAATGCACGTTCACTTCTGAACAAAATTTCAGCCTTGAGAACATTAGCCTTTCTATCCAAGCCTTCTTTCATACTTATCACTGAAACATGGTGCTCTCATGCAGTATCTGACTCAGAATTAAATATCCAAAACTATAGACTCTATCGCTGTGACAGAGAAACTAAGCGAGGAGGTGGTTGTATTATATATGCTTTGGATACCCTAACAACTAATAGAGTTGAAGATAGTGTCCTGAATAGTTTACCAGAATCAGTCTGGATATCTGTCAACACCCTGAATCATAGTCTACTCCTTGGATGTATATACAGAGCTCCTGAGAGCTCAAATAATGGGAATAATCTTATTATCAATGCATTCATACATGCATCTGCTCTAAACTTCAATGCTAAGATTATCACTGGTGATTTCAATTATCCTGGGATTAACTGGAGTACCGGTAGCTGTCAGTCATGTAATGAGGAGTTCTCGGCAACCATTAACATGCACTGTTGGTCACAGTGGGTTCGTACCCCAACTAGAGGTGATAGTATACTCGATCTAATATTTAGTAGAGATATTATCCCACTGTCTGTAAAGGTATACGATGAATTTGAAAGCAGTGACCATAAGACAGTAGTATGCTCTCTCCCTATATATCCCTCTTCTAACCGACCCATTCAAAAAACCTGTCAATATAGAGACTTTAAGCATGCCGACTGGGACCTCCTGCATTCACTGATTAAACTTTCAGACTGGGATAACTTTTTTTCATGTACTAATCTCATAGATACTATCGACGAGTTCTATTTGATCGTTAACTCTTGTTTAGATTCTTCTGTACCTCTTAAAACGTACAGGTTTATTAAACCTTACGAATTATATATACCAGCTAAATATCGTAATAAACTAAGACGCCTACAGAATCGTTATTTCAAGTCAAACGACTTCACGGCAGCTGCGCAAACAACAATAATTTTTAATCAAATTAAAGAGACACATAGGTTAAAAGCCATTAATGAGGAGATACTAGCACTTAATAGTAACTCAAAAATACAAAACTTAACTCTACTTCTCAATAAACGCGCTAAAGTAACTCAAAATGTTGATATACCATGCATCCAGCATAATAACACTTTTATATACGACTCTAAAACTATGGCAGACCTTTTCAGTGCTACTTTTGCGAATGATGTAGGAACCACAAGTGGCTCTGCTTCAAGAGATACGTGCGTGACCAGCAACTACATAAAATCTATCTCCTTCACATGTAAGAAAATTAATATGGCTATAAATGCCCTTAAGCTTTCGCGCGGTCATGGAGCAGACGGGATTCCATCCTTTCTCTACAAATACGGTGGTCCAGATATTCCACTTCTTCTTCTAAAGCTGTTTACTCTCTCTATGGAAACTGGTTCTTACCCTTACTGTTGGAAAACCGCGTACATCATACCACGTTATAAATCTGGAGATAAGACTGACATGAACAATTATCGGCCAATAAATATTACTCCAGTGATCTCTAGGATTATGGAGAAAATTGTAAGTGATGAACTTTCCAACTATTTACTCGCTGGAAACTTTATCAATGATACTCAACATGGATTTCTCAAAAATCGATCTTGCATGACATGTCATTTCGACTTCTTTAATTTAGTCTACTCTCTACGTAGCCAAGGATATCTAGTCTTAGTGCTATATCTGGACATTTCTAAGGCCTTTGACATGGTTAACCACCAACTTCTTATAGGCAAACTTGCATCTTATGGGGTTCAAAATCCTTTGCTAGATTGGATTGAATCATTTCTCAGCAATCGACATCAAATAGTTAAAATTAACTCTTCATTGTCTAACGCTGTCCCCGTTAGAAGTGGTGTAATACAAGGTAGTGTCTTAGGCCCTTTGCTCTTTTTAGTGTTTATCAATGACATTTGCGAAAATTTTTGTGTAGGTAAGCCCCTTCTATATGCAGATGATCTTAAACTAGTATATTCATTTTCTCCACATGAGCTGGAAAATGTGCAAACTTGCATTAACTTGGAGCTTAACAAGGTAGCACAGTGGTGCTTAAAATGGCAACTGGAACTTAATACGGCTAAATGTGGATGGATATGCTTCGGCGATACATCACTTAACCTAGACCTTACCATAAATGGAGAAATGTTAACTAGGTTACATACAGTAGTAGACTTGGGACTTAGATACTCCCAAGACTTATCGCTTACAGAACAGATATCGAAACAGACCTCCAAGTCACAACGACTAGTAGGTTACATAATTCGAAACCTTCATAACAATGAATCACGAATTTTAATGTACAAAGTTTGTGTTCGACCTCTTCTAGAATATTGCACGTTTATTCTTAGCAGTGCGCGCATAAAGTATAAATTAAGGCTGGAATCAGTACAGAGACGATTTACACTTCGTATTCTTGGAGCTGATTGTTCCTTAACTTATAATTCTAGATGTAAAAAACTAGAGCTAGACCCTTTATGGAAGAGGAGACTCAAACTAAATCTTATTTTTTTCTTCAAACTACTTAATAAATTATCCTTTACATCCAATCATGTAATTCAATATGCAGAGACTCCTCATTATGAAACCCGTAATTCCTTGGCACTTGTGAAACTAACTTATTCTAAATCATCTCTTTATATGAATTACTTTGCCTGTAAATTTTCTAGACTCTGGAATAACCTACCAGAACATATCCGTACGATTAAATCACTCCCATTATTTGTACGTTGCATCGATGCATATTGCTCCTCCGAAAATGCATTGAATGCTCTAGCACCCGCAAGTGTATCTCACTCCACAAGTGTTATTATAGGAACTTTAAATGTTTAGGCATTTTTATTAGTGCATTCTCTGGATAAAACCACCTACTCGCTGTCACTTTATGTTAATACCGTCCCCAGCTAGTTTAACTAATTTGAATATCATCAGCAGTATATCACTGTGTCACATGACATACGCATTTTGATAGATCTGTTTGGCATATTTCGGTAATTACTGCTTTGTTGTTCCGTGCTCTCTGTTTTCGTTTTAATTTCTCTAGTTGTAGATATTTATCATTAAATCGATCTGGCACACGAAATGACCTTAATTACATCGTTTATAAATCAACAGACAGTCCAGTTAAGAAATATTACATGTTCCCGGCTGATACATTGGATCGCTGTAATACCCAAACAACTACTGAGCTAGTAAACTTAAAACTCATAACACATGTTTGTTCTGTACATATAATGATATTTATATCAAATTGATCATGCCTGTAAACTGGCGTGAATTCTGTAATTATAATTTTTTCAGAATATAAATTATTATTATTATTATTATATGTAGGGTAGTAAACGAAATAGCCCAGCCTGAAGCGTTAGGGCTTGAAGAACGCTTAAAACCCATTGTCTGTTGTCGGAATACTATTACAACACCACCACCACCACCAAGATCATCACAGTCATTGGATTTGCGAGATTTTCATTCGTCCGACAATTCAGACCGAGAGTTAGGGGTAGTATCCCTATATAACATGGCGAGTAAGAGCAGGTGTAAATCGTCAAGTGCAAGTCTCAATGTACGTGTACATATTATACATCATTGAATAGCACTCAATTAGATGAGTAACACAAAGCACGCCCCATTCACAAATATCAATCCGTTGAAAAGTTGTCAAAGAAAATGTGACCCGAAAACATGCTATAGAAAGTCCGCGCGTCAAAATCCTATAGAAATGCTCGAGACAGCGATTTCCTCAACACACTCTTCACCATAACTTTTCAACAGCTCAACCGATTTCGCTGATTCATTTTGTGTGGGATTTCTCTTGCAAATATCTGTTTGACACCGAATTTCAACACATTGTAAGATGTATCAATAAAATGCAAAATGTATCAATGAAATCGGCTAACCAGCAAACCAATTTTACGTATGAGCAGTGAGCAAAACTTGCCAAAGTAATCATGCTGAACCATCGTCAGTGTGAATGGTGAACCTCCAGTCGGAATCGAGACCTTCAGCTCAACATAGCAATATAGCTTATACAGTATACCACACATATGTAGGGTAGTAAACGAAATAGCCCAGCCTGAAGCGTTAGGGCTTGAAGAACGCTTAAAACCCATTGTCTGTTGTCGGAATACTATTACAACACCACCACCACCACCAAGATCATCACAGTCATTGGATTTGCGAGATTTTCATTCGTCCGACAATTCAGACCGAGAGTTAGGGGTAGTATCCCTATATAACATGGCGAGTAAGAGCAGGTGTAAATCGTCAAGTGCAAGTCTCAATGTACGTGTACATATTATACATCATTGAATAGCACTCAATTAGATGAGTAACACAAAGCACGCCCCATTCACAAATATCAATCCGTTGAAAAGTTGTCAAAGAAAATGTGACCCGAAAACATGCTATAGAAAGTCCGCGCGTCAAAATCCTATAGAAATGCTCGAGACAGCGATTTCCTCAACACACTCTTCACCATAACTTTTCAACAGCTCAACCGATTTCGCTGATTCATTTTGTGTGGGATTTCTCTTGCAAATATCTGTTTGACAACGAATTTCAACACATTGTAAGATGTATCAATAAAATGCAAAATGTATCAATGAAATCGGCTAACCAGCAAACCAATTTTACGTATGAGCAGTGAGCAAAACTTGCCAAAGTAATCATGCCGAACCATCGTCAGTGTGAATGGTGAAACTCCAGTCGGAAATGAGACCTTCAGCTCAACATAGCAATATAGCTTATACAGTATACCACACATATGTAGGGTAGTAAACGAAATAGCCCAGCCTGAAGCGTTAGGGCTTGAAGAACGCTTAAAACCCATTGTCTGTTGTCGGAATACTATTACAACACCACCACCACCACCAAGATCATCACAGTCATTGGATTTGCGAGATTTTCATTCGTCCGACAATTCAGACCGAGAGTTAGGGGTAGTATCCCTATATAACATGGCGAGTAAGAGCAGGTGTAAATCGTCAAGTGCAAGTCTCAATGTACGTGTACATATTATACATCATTGAATAGCACTCAATTAGATGAGTAACACAAAGCACGCCCCATTCACAAATATCAATCCGTTGAAAAGTTGTCAAAGAAAATGTGACCCGAAAACATGCTATAGAAAGTCCGCGCGTCAAAATCCTATAGAAATGCTCGAGACAGCGATTTCCTCAACACACTCTTCACCATAACTTTTCAACAGCTCAACCGATTTCGCTGATTCATTTTGTGTGGGATTTCTCTTGCAAATATCTGTTTGACAACGAATTTCAACACATTGTAAGATGTATCAATAAAATGCAAAATGTATCAATGAAATCGGCTAACCAGCAAACCAATTTTACGTATGAGCAGTGAGCAAAACTTGCCAAAGTAATCATGCTGAACCATCGTCAGTGTGAATGGTGAACCTCCAGTCGGAAATGAGACCTTCAGCTCAACATAGCAATATAGCTTATACAGTATACCCTACATATGTGTGGTATACTGTATAAGCTATATTGCTATGTTGAGCTGAAGGTCTCATTTCCGACTGGAGGTTCACCATTCATACTGACGATGGTTCAGCATGATTACTTTGGCAAAG